GGGGAAATTCCCAGATGTGGGCCGTTGCAGCTGTTATCACCACTTCGTGGTGCTCAGCCCTCCGAGCTGCCACCACTGGTATTTTCAGCATTCTTTTCCAAACACACCAACCACCTCAGGAGAAAGTCCCTTCAGCAAACATTATTTTTGTATTTGAGGGTCTGACCTAGTTTCTCCTATTAGGGCAATTTCTGGACCTTGTGTCCCAAGGTCCTTGGACTTGGTCAGCAGAAGGCTGCACGGGTAATGCTTGTTGCAAACCTCACATTCTCTAGGCAGAAACACACCAATTGCTTTTAGGTTCCCTGGAGAATGTTCTATTGCCACCTCATTGAACCCGTGAAAGAGGAAAAAAGAACTGGGTGCCAGGTAAGGTGACACTGAAGTGTGCAGGCAGTAAATCTGAATCCAGCACCAGCCACATCTAATGAGCCTATTATTAGAGGCTCTTGGCAGAGCGAGGAAGATCAAATGCCAATGAAAAGCAGGTTCCGAGAACAGTTTAAAACTTAGCTGCAGCCCCATTACATGTTCCCTTTTGAGTCACAGAGGAGGTTTTGCACAATAAAAAGGATCTTGCCTTTTTAACAAGACTTGTGGATTTGCGTGAAAAAGAACAGGGCAGCAACCTCAAAATTAATAGCGTTTTAAATAGCTCAGTGGAGAAGTTAAAGCTGGAGGAAATGATGGGCTCATTGTTAAACTTTTAAATGATCCAAACAGCTGTCTTGCCATAGGGCCTCACTTTGGTGGGCAATGGAGAGAGATCTGGCAGAGGTGGCTGACAGAAACTTCCAGTTATTAAGGAATTACATTGCTAAATCCTCCATCAAGAAGGCACTCTAGTGGAAGTAGAGGTGGTCAACAGTGTGGAAGGGCACCAGGCTTGATGGATTTGGTATTACCATGCCATGCCTGGGCTTTCAAATTCCTTACTGCTGAGTTCCATCTGCACAGCCACAGGTTGTAGGAAGGGGGTATTAACAAGGGGAGAAGTGTGCACACTTGAAATCACTTACTGTGATTGTCCAGGGGACTTGCCCAGACCAGGTCTTGCCCTTTCTGTTCATTACCAGGGAAGTGAATCTACAAGCTGTTGTGACCTCAGGCCTTCCTCCTGTGTCCGGCTCAACTCTCCCTGGTATCTGTTTCTCTTGCTGGGAACTAGGGCAGTCGTTGAAATGCTGTCATATTCGTGGTGGGAACAGGGCAGAGCATAACTGACTTGACATTCATTCGAATCAGTGCCTGTGCTAAAACCCAACAAGTGGACATCAGGAGTTGCATCTGGTGGGAGCTTCAAGCTCTAGTTTGCACATACAGATTTCCAAACTGTGAAATTGTGTCTCCTCCATTTATTGCTAAGCTCTAGACAAATTGCACAGTTAATTTAGGAGACCCCTTGTTCCCTCCAGATTTCTGTTCAAATGACCCCTTATCACAGAAGCCTTCCCTGCCACCTGAGGCAAAATAGCACACCTCCTTCCCACATGTCACCTTCCTCTTAGCGATATATTCTTCCTCTGTGAGATATATTTGTCTATTTATTTGTTCTCTATGCTATGATGTTCATTCCATGTGAACAAGGGCTTTATCTGTTTTCTTTGCATTGGCATCTTCAGCACCTAGAATAGTGTGGGGCCTCTAATATGTGCCCAGCAGAAATTTGTAGAATAAAAACAAAGATGATATGAGCCTTGTTGAGGTAGAGTGCTGCCAGTCTGTCCACAGAAGGGCCTCATTCCCAGGAGAAAGCAAGGTGCCCTTTGTAGCTCCTTTCTAGTTCTTAAGTTTTCTTTGAGCAAACATTTACAAAGCATGTGGCACCAGGTATTAAGGATCCCAGTCTGCTCTCCCAGAGTTTATAGATTGATGGAGGATGGAGACATGTAAATTAATTCCATTCTGTAAGATACAACTCTGGAATCAGCCCCATCTGGGAGACTTTTTTGAACACCGTTCTTCCTCAAAGCTAGGCTGGGTGCCACTCTTACCATTTCCCTCCCTCCTGTGCAGAGCTTTCTCATGGCCCATATGGAAAACAGACAGATACTGTGTGACATGCTTCCTGTTTCCCCTAAAGAGCTCCTTAAGAGCAAGAATTACACCTTGATTACCACTGAGTGTAGTGTCTCACATGTGGAGCACTCAGTAAATTCAAGTTATCCTTATTGTTGCCTCTGTTACTATGCACATTCAGTAACCTGCGTTTATATAGCTGTGTATGTGTCTAATCTCATTGAAAAAACCATGTCTGTTCTTCTGAAGATATATAAGGCTTAGAAGCAGCCTCATGTATAATTATATAATATTATAGATGCTGTATTCTATAATATTACCCATTTCAGGCCTTCTCTGTGTTCTGGTGATGCAGAGATCAATCAGACCAGTATAGAATCTTTATGAAGAGTTCTTAGGGGACCCCCTGTGTCCCCAGATACAAGATGTCCCCTCATATACTTTAAAAATTATTTTCTATATGCAGATGTCTGGAACGCCTATGAGCCTGAAACATTTGTTTAATTCTAAGAGGGCTGGAGAAGTCACAGGAATTCTCTCAATAAATACTTGTGGGTTCATGTGTTCTGATGCTGCCTCTTTGATGTGGCTGTTTTGATTCAGGGCTTCAGAGACATTCTGTCATGACCTAAAAAGCAGACCATTAAACATGCAGCAATATTTTTGCAACTAAGAAGCATGTGCAACAGGCCTCCAACCACATTACCAGGTTGGGTGTGTACGTTAACCTAATATTTGTGGGTTTTCACTTTGGCATCACTGTTTTGATGCACAATACTGTCATTACATCAAGGATCTTGCCAGAATGTTTGGTTTAAATACTTGTTAGTCTCACTTAAACACCAATCATGTGTCCAATTCTAACTGCTGTGGTAGGAGGGATTTAAATGAAGCAGAAGGCAGGGGATTACAGTTTCAAGGGGATCACAGAATAAGGCCAAGGGATGGCTAATGAATACATTCACCATTTCAGGATACCTAGACCTCCATTCTTTTTGGCCATTTCCTGCTTTAGAGCTTCAGGTTACTGGAGAAATGTTTAAAATTATAAAAAGGTCCCAATGTGAAAATAAAAATATGGCCTATCTATGTTAAAAAGATTTTTTGGACCATTTCCCCTGCCATGTTGTAAAAAGAATTTTTCTGTCTTCCTCATTTGGTGATGGGAGAAAGTGGCATTTATTGCTCACTGACCTGAAAGGCCCTTGTCTTCTTGCTGTGAAGGGTCATACCCTATGCTCCTTTTCAGACAGTATGAGTGACCATTAGCATGCACAAATGTCAAATAGTTGGTGGTTGCCCCAAAACTAACTAGATGAGTAGAAAATTAGACCATTCAGGTGAGACTAAGAAACTTACATTTTGACAGATTTGACATATTTAATAAAAAAATATTTAAAGTATTTTTAATATTTTCATTTGGGTATTCCACCAGACCATTTAAAATTTGTTACTTGCAATGTTACTTCCAGTTTTAAAACATTTTAGTAACAAGTATGTTAGGCAGCCTGTTGTGAAAAAGTACAGAGCTGTGTTTGGGCCCCTGGTTTTAAATCTGAGACTCTGGAAGTTAAGCTTGGTGTCTGTTGGAATGCTGGAGCTGGTGGTGGGGGTGGGGGTACCCTTGAGATAAATGTTATCCTTGTCTTGAACTTGGCAAGTGTCGTGTGTCTCTGTGTTCTCTGGGGAAAGGAACCAGGTGCCATGTCAAGCCTCTAGTGTACATTACACTGTTTAATTTCTGCAAGGTAGGTATCAAGCCCTTCTTACTACACACCAGGTGGTAAGTGATGGAGTCATGATTTGAATCCCAGGTTCTCTGGGTCCAAAACCAACTCTATTTCTATGATAACCAGTGATTCCAAACCTCTGATCTGCAGAATGGTGTTGGTCCAGAGGAAGGTTTCTCCAGGCTGTGGAGAGACTATCTGGGTAAGGCTAACACCCCCCTATCTTGGAAGGCAATGTCATTTATTTAGAGACTGTGACCTGACTTGCTAGGTTTTAAAAATCAAATACCCAGATTTTTTTTTCAAATCATATAGTGACGATTGTAAATGGCAGCTAACAAAAAGGTGTCCTAAGTTATCAAAGTAAAAAATTGGCTTCCCTATGTAAATCCCCAAGCTTAAACTTGGAATCTTTTTGGCCTGGGAAATAACAAAGCTTTAAAAAGAGGTAATGTTCTCATTACCCCGTCAAGGGTTTCATTGGCACACTCAGCACGGCTTGGGTTCACGTGAGGTTTATCTGGGAAAGGGCTGGGCTGCATCCGTGGAGGGAGGCGATCGCAGGATTGTGAAAGCCGTACTGCTTTGACGCTGAATACATGACCCGGGCAGCTAAAGAGTCCTGATAATGCAAGTGACCTTTAAAAACCACAATGGATTGATGTTTTAAAAACTAGACAAACCATCTTTTCCAAAAGAGAGGTAAAACTTGGACTACGAGCATGTACTGCTTTTCAGTGACCAGGATGAGGAAGACTGGAGCTCACAGACATTTTAATTTAGCATGATGTAGGCCATGACTCTTCTGACCGTAGATTATTCAAAAGTCACCTTTTTGCTGTTGACAGAAGAATACAAGAGCTCGGGTGTTAGAACCAGGCATGTCTGGGTTTGGCTCTCCCTTTCTTTCATCCTTGTGACCCTGGGCAAGTTACCTTCTGTAAAATGGGCAGGGACACTGGCTGAGATAACAGATGGGTAACTTGAAGAACCTCACCACTGCCTGTGGTGCACTGTTCTTTACAGTGGTGATCCAAGATAATGGGGCAAACAGCCCCTGGCCTGCTGGTGGTGCGTGTGTCCTTGTTTCCTGCTTAGCGGTGAGCTGGGCTAAGGGTACCCTGAGGTGCTCTGGTCTTTATTTTCCTTCCTAGAGTCCCAGATTCCCAACTGTGCCTGTTTTGCCTCTGACTACTTGAGCCCCTCAAATTGTACAGCAGGCTCTAACCTCTGCCTTCACTTCTGTTTTAGTGCCAACATGCCCAAGCAGGTGGAAGTGCGGATGCACGACAGCCACCTCAGCTCTGAGGAGCCGAAGCCACGGCATCTGGGGCTGCGCCTGTGTGACAAGCTGGGGAAGAACCTGCTGCTCACGCTGACTGTGTTTGGTAGGTGACCAGCGCCACCCCATCTGGACCCCTTCTCTGGGTCCCTCCTGGCTCTGCGGGGAAGCCAGTTTGGCTGGCCAGCCCTCCCACTGGCAAGGAAGCCCACACTCTGCCCTCAGGCCTCCGCTGCCCAGGCATGCTGCCTCAGTGGTATAGTTTTTGCCCACCCGGCCCTAGCCATGTGTTTTCTCCCTTGGGATTTCACTGGTTCTCAAATTTCCATGTGCCTGTGGATTTCTCATGAGTGTGTGAGCATGCAGATTCCCAGGCCCTACTCGCAGGGACTTAGCTTTGGGCCAGCTGGAATGAGGCTCTGGAATTTGCATCTTACCAACCCTTTCTGGTGATTCCCAAGCAGATGGTCTGTGAACCACATTTAAAGAAATACTTGCACCAAGAGAAAGGCAACAGTTGCTGAAAACCCCACAAAGAGGCTCCCAAGGTCTAACCTTCCCTAAGCACCTCATTAACTCAGGTTGCTTTAGCACATTAGCTGATGAGGTCAGGGTGGCCGAGGCTTGTCCCAAAGCCTTGATCTGCTCCGGCTCCACCCGGAAAGTCTTACTCCCTTGCTCAAGCCACAGCCAGGCGATGGTTGCCCTTTTGTGTGACTGTTAATACAACTTTGGTCTTAGGCTTCCACCCAGGGTTTAATGAAAGTGGGGCAAATTGTAGAACCTTATAATGACAACCACACCATTCCTTTCTTGGTCACTCCCTGCCCTTCAGCTGTCACTTAGGCTACACACAGAATCTACCCACCCTCTGCCCCCAGCCCCACCCACTGCTACGCCCACACCCTCCATTCCATAGCTGCTTCTTCCAGTCAGTCCTCTTGGATGTCAGGGGACCAGGGTCAGAGCGGGGGGCTTACCATAGCTCAGCTCTCTAGCTCGCTTAATGAAAGACAGCACAGGTGTGGTGGGGTTTCCCAAGGGTCACCCTCCATGTAAGCAAACTTCTTTCATCCTAGGTCTTGAAGAGGTATGTTTTCACCTGTTGGAGGAAGTAAAGCAGATCAGGCTTTAGGCCACATTACTCTGCTCGCCTCCCTGGAGCCAACACCACAACCCATATGCCCAAGAGCCCACTCCCCTCTTACAGCCAGTGGTGCTGTGACCTGATTTGTGGTTTCTGCGAGGATTGTTTATGTTGGCCCCTGTTTGGAGAGATCCGGAGTTTGTCTTGCGGAATCCCCGAGCATGCGAAGTGAAAGGCTCCTGCCAGCATCTCTGCTCAAATTGTTTCCTCCCAAAGGGTATATTTTTTAGAGACCTTCCTTGATGTTCTGTAAGATCAGCAAGTCTAAAGCGTATCAAAGAGGACATGGAAATCAAGGACAAAACTTCCAAAGAGTGAGCCATGGGGAAATTATCAGAAGCTAAAGAAGCTAGAAGAAAAACGGAAGCTCATACCAGCTCAATCATCAACTGTTCCCTTTATTTGGTAACCAGTTGAAAAGAGAGTAAATACTGTAAACACCAGGCCAGTTGCTAGGCCTGGGCTGGAAGGAGAAACAATCTGGCTCTTTGGCTTATTTCTATGGATCTTCTCTGACTCTACAAATGGGCGATACCCTCAAATACGCAGGAGTCAAGTTGCCATGTCATACTTGCTGTAAAGCCTGATAAGGCTCCCCTTGATTCTTCCAGTAGTGCCTTTTAGGAGTTGGAAGTACAAAATATTTTCTCACAAGTAATTAAAACCAACTTCACTTATATCTTGGTAATTGTGTTGCATGTTATTCATCTTCTGATAATGGAGAAGTATAAAAAATGGTCAGTATCACTGAAATAAGTCTTTAGAGCTATGTGTTTGACCAGGGCGAAAAATAAATTCAGATTTCTCCCCCTTCCTTATAGGCGTCATCCTGGGGGCAGTATGTGGAGGGCTTCTTCGCTTGGCATCTCCTATCCACCCCGATGTGGTTATGTTAATAGCCTTCCCAGGGGATATACTCATGAGGATGCTAAAAATGCTAATTCTTCCTCTAATCATCTCCAGTTTAATCACAGGTAAGACCACCTCTCTGGTGTCTGGTCGAAGGGAGTCATACTCCTGCTCTGGCTTTTGGATTAACAATAGAATCTCAATTTGGTTGAATGAAAGAATGTGATTGTATCATTTCACTTCAGAGCCTTCCTTTTCCCATCTCTAAAATGAGGATAATCAATCCTAAAATAAGTTTGCCATCTATTGTTCAGTCCATCTGTCTGTCTAGCAACAAAAGATGAAAAGGAAATAGCTGTATGTTAAAAGTGATGCTATCTGTGGTGATGTTCATTTTTGATACATGCTTTTCTCATTTTCTAAATTGTATTTTGTTCAGAAACCGATAAATAAAGGTAATAAATAGAAAAGAAAATGTCCCTCTTTATTATTGGGTGTGGAGGGAAGTGGGTATTGAAAATAAATTGAAAAACTAGATATGAAACCCTTTGAGTTTTTCAGAAAAAAGGTACTCTTCAAAAACATGCACTTGTTTTTGCCTGAAAGAATTGTTTCATTTGAAAGAAATTTTTTTTCCCTTTTATGGGCTTATACCGGTACTTTTTTCCTTAACAAATAATATTGCTTGAACAGCGATGTTTAGTATATTTTAGACTAAGCTCTGAGTTAAGGTGAGAAGCTTGGCTTTGGTTTATATTTGAATGCCAATAAGCAGGGTCACTTTGAGGATGGTGTTCCTCTGGACTGTCCACGTCATGAAGGAGGTGAGGCTCTGGTGACTTCTAGAGATTCAGATGCTAGACCAGATTATTCCACAGTCTCATACCTGGTGGACCACTGAGCCCAGTGAGGAGAGGGGCTGGGACTTGGTGTCAGGAAGGTCTCCTTCAGTCCTAGGTTGAGTGAAACTGTACTTTAACCTTAAAATGCTCCTTTCAAACCAGAGAAAATGTTCTCCTTGCTGGTCTAACATATTGTACATTGGTCAGCTTGGTAAGGAAACTAGCTTCTGCTGACTGGAATCAGACTTTAAGCTGTAAGAAGTAGGTCATATATAGGTCAGCCAAATTCAGAAAAGATAGCATCAGTGACATCCTCCCTACAGCAAAAAGAGACTGATCCCCAGAAAGGAGGGCAATGTCTCTGTTTAGTAAAAGCAGGATTACTTTGGTCCTTCATCTTTTTGACTTTAAAGAACTGGGAAAAAACCCAGTGAAGGCTGGAGTTTTTGTGACTTGCTTGGAATTTCCTCTAACAATTACAGAACCTCAAGCAGTGTAGACGAAGCACCCACCTTTGCCTTCTCTGATCTCTGTGCTCCCAAAGCCCTCCGTGAGGTGGGGACGTGTGTGCTCCATCGTGCTTCACTTTGGAGGATTGAGAGGACCGTGAGACATCTCTCTGCTAGGCTTTCGATTTTAATGGCCAGGAATGCATTTGAAAAGTGTTTTGAATAAGTAGGACTTTTTTACATACCAAATTTTAATTTTCTCTACTGAGAATATTAAAAAATAATAACAATAATAAGTAAAACCTAGCATGTATCAGCACTGCCATTCCATTAAGAATGGATATCTTAACACCGAATAAATGGGAAGGACACAATTTCAGAATTAAAAATTGAATATATTCCACTTTAATTCACTATATCAGACTAACAAGAGCAGTCACTGGCCAGATTATTAACTCTGAACTAGAGATTGCCAATTTCCCCCAGTTCTCTAGACACTTAGAAACATCCTTTAAAAACAGCATTGTAACTGTAGGATAGACCAGATATTCAGTAGAAGGAGGTTAAATTAACCATTAGTTCTTCTGAGTGATATGAAGCCAAGTTGTAAGTATGCAGAGATGGGTGATTAACAGAAACATAGAGTTAATTCTTCTGGATTTCTTTTCAATCCAGGGTTGTCAGGCCTGGATGCTAAAGCCAGTGGGCGCTTAGGCACCAGGGCCATGGTGTATTACATGTCCACGACCATCATTGCCGCCGTGCTGGGGGTCATCCTGGTCTTGGCTATCCACCCAGGGAACCCCAAACTCAAGAAGCAGCTGGGGCCTGGGAAGAAGAATGATGAAGTGTCCAGCCTGGATGCCTTCCTGGACCTTGTTCGAAATCTCTTCCCTGAAAACCTTGTCCAAGCCTGTTTTCAACAGGTAACTCCAAATTCTGATGTTCTCACCTCTCCAGCTTTGTAAATTATCAAGATAACTGAGAGACTGTTTCAACAAACCAGCTCTGGGAAACAATTTTCTCACTGTTGAATTATCGCCATTCTCAGGTTTTGTGTGAGGTGATTTGGGACAGAATTTTGGGATTGAAGTTGTGTTGTTGTTTATTTGAACCTTCCTTTTATCCAGCCCTTTCAGTATCTCTGCTCTGGGACCCTTCTCCTTTTTTGATGTTAGCTCTTCCTTGCTGTTTGATTCCCATCTCTGCATCACCCAGGGGCACAGTTTTTTCACCCTCACCCATGCCCCTCAAGAGCACCCAGTGGTTCTCAATCTTGGCAGCATAGCAAAACCACATGTTGTATGTTTAAAAAATACATATGCCCTACAGAATCAGAATCTCCAGTGTGGGTCCAGTAATTGGGTATTTTCACATTGTGGAAGTAATGCACAAGGATTACAAAAAGTTTAAATAGTATAGATGCACGTAAAGTAAAAGTCAAGTCCCATTTCTCTTCCCTAGAGCTCCTTGTGTTGAGAATTTTGTTTCCTTCCATATTCATATTAGGTATGCATGCATAATCTTTAAAAATTCAACCCAAGTAGTACTGCATTACACATACTGTGTTTTGTATCTTGCTTTTTCACTTAAAAGTTTTAGGTACCCTCCTCTTTCTCTCTCTCTTTTTTTTTTCATAATTGCAGAATATTTCTAAAGGATAGATTCTTAGAAGTTAAACTGTTCTGCCAAAGGGTTTTATATTTTCAGTTTGCTGGGAGTTAGAAAAATGGCCCTACAAAAGTTTGTAACAATGTGTATTCTTATCAATTGCTTACAGGCATATCTACTTTTTAAAACTTGTGATTTTTAAAAATAGATCATTCTGCTGGTTAGAACCAATCAGATAGCTGCCTAGGCCCCACTTCCCAGCCTGCTGTCTAGCCTGAGGCCAGTTTAGGTTATAATACACCTCAGTTCCCCTTAGTCCAGATACAAATAAATTAGAAGCAAGGAAGCTCCTTCAGCCATTTCCAGGGACTCACAGAAGAATGAACTTAGGTTGCATAGTGGAAAAGTCTGCATTCCCAGCAGCCCCCCAAATGCAGTTGCCAACCACTGCTGAGCCCAGATTACTCTGCGCTGGATGTGTTCTCTGATTTTCAAGGCCACTCCTGGCACGTGTAGCATGGAGCTGCACAAGAGGAAACCATTCCAGCAGGGGAAGTTGGGTGGGGAGTGCACAGAAACAGTCTGGGGAGGGCTTCTTACTGGCGCTCCCTCTGTAGCATGTGCTTGCCCCTCAGCTGCCTGCTTAGAAAGATGAAACTGCTTGCTTTGGGGTGGGGCGATAGACACAGTTGGGTGCCAAGTCTATTCTTAGCATTTTGGAAAGTGCTCTATGAAACTCCAGCTGCTGGAAGCTGGGCTGGTAGAAGAATGGGGTGGGGGTAGCGTGAGAGGGATGGTGGAGGGACAGAATTGGGTCTCTTACCTGTGCCTGGTCACAATCATGCTCCATGCAAGGAGACCCCTTCATCTCAGTCTGTAAGGCAGGACTGAGAGGCAAGCAGACACTTGGAGCTATTGTGCTGGTCTTGGGCTGAGTTTTGTGGTGTCAGCAATACTCACACTTGGAGACCTGTTTGGTTGATGAGGGCACTCTGTGACACTAGAATAGAGCCCTAAGCCACTGCCTGCCCCACCTTCCTCCCTGGGTCTACCCCTCCACTGGCAAAATTCACTAGAGAATGAGCCCTTAGTCCCCAAGCCAAGCCCAGGGTCACTGTCCCTTTGGGTTAGGACAATCAGAGGAAAAATTAGGTAGAAACTTTTATTTACCTCATGGGGAAAGAGGTGCAGTTTTCTTAAGCCAGACTTCAGGCAGCCCAGAGGAGAGGGATCTTAAACTAGGTGCAATCCCATGGGCTTAGAAGGGCCTTGATGGAGGCTCAAAGAAAGGAACTCCTGCAGGGTGACATCACATTACCAGAGAGGACGGGTGCCGGAGGGGTGCCTTCTGTGCCCTGAGTACAGCTGAAAATGATTTTAAGTAGCCTTTCTCGGGTGGAGGGACCTTCCTGATCAGTTAGAGATGTAAAGAGGGTGGTACGCTGTCCCCAGAGTGAAGGCTGCCTTATGCAAGATGACAGGACAGTGTCTTTGAGAGCAGTGAGGTTACTGCTTATTGCTTAGGGCTGACTCTGAACTAAGGTGAGGTTTCCAAGAGAGCAACAGGCTGCAGGTATGGCCAGTTTAGGTTCAATCAAGCCCAGTGACAGGGACCTCATGGGGTCTTTTCTTCCTCAGGACTTGGTAATCTGTGTTTGCTCATTCATCTGCTACTCGTGAGTAGTTCCTGGGTGCTAGATTCTCTGCCGGGCACAGGATGCCACAAGGAATGAGACAGTGGGGGTCCCTGCCCAGTAGAGCTTATTCACATTCAGTGGGTGGGGGGAAATAGACCAGAACAAACAAAAAGTCAGGTAAACATGCAAGATATTTAAAAATTAAGTAAGTGTCCTCAGATGGCCGGAGGCAGGATGATGGGCTGGGCAGGAACTGGGGGACATGTCTGAGATGAGACAATAAAGGACCAGAATGGGCCAGGCTGAGGAGAACTGGGACAAGAGCCTGCTAAGTAGAGGCACAGGCTTGCAGAGGTTGGAAATTTGCTATGATCAGAGAACACAAGGGAGGCCTATGTGTGGAAAGTAGAGTGAGTGGAGATAGTAAATCTCAGCTCAGGCCCAATCTGATAGGCCAGGGTCAGACTTAAGTTCTTATTCTAAGACAGTTTAAGGCAGGGAGATGACTAGTTTTCCAGTTTTAGAAAATCATCTGGTACCTTTGGATACAGACAAAGCTCTGGGTAGCTACACTTATTTGGGGATTGCACATAGACAAGAAGAGATGTAGCAGGGTCAGTGACAGGTGTTTGCAGGTTTTAAGGTGAGAAACAATGGTGTTTGGACTCAGGTAGACTGGAGCTGGCACACAGATAGGGTTGTCCAACCCAAACAGGCTTGAATGAGGTCTCACATGAGAACCAGGTCTGTATTTCAGTATCCCTATCTCTTCACTTCCAACTTAAGCCACTGGCCTTTGCTATTTAGAAGCTGGATTCTGGAGTCAAACAACTCATTTTCAGTCCTGCTTCAGCACTAACCAGCTATTTTTCCTCAAGTTAGTTACTTAGGCCTGTGAGCCTTGAGACATAATAAATAATAGGTGTCAAACATGGAGCACCTGGCCACTACCGTGATCCTGGAAGCCACCATTTGTTTAGGTCCATGACCATTACTCCTTTGAACTCAAGCCTTGGCTTCTTTAGCATTCCCAGGGCAGGTATGTAGTTGGCTTCTGCCCAACCCTCCTTTTTTCCTGGGAACATGACTCTGTTGCTCACAGAAGCTTCTCTTCTGATCACTCCTACATTCTCTCTTCATGCTAAAATTGCCCAGACCACAGGGCCCATAAGCTCCCTGTTTCTCTCCTCTCTGCCTGGGCTTCCTCCCTCCCTGAAAAAGCATTCATGGCTAGGCTAGAACAGAGAGCACCCTGCATTCCCGTCTCCCCCGTGTCAGATAGCTGGGCAGCTCAGCATTGCTTATGCATGGGCCCAGCTATGGTAGGATTCAATCCATATCATTTATCATGCGTCTCAGGTGTGCAAAGAGCTCAGTGATGGCCAGGCTATCTGAGCTGAAGTTGCAGCTCTGCCAATAACTCTACAAAGTCTGACAAGTCACTTGACTTTTCCATGCTTCCTCTTCCATATCTATTCAGGCTTCAGCCATCTGTTGCTTACTGTGTACCAGCCTGACATTCTAGGACTTTGCCTGAGTTCTATTTCAGTACCCTTGGAGGTAGTGTTTCTCTGGGCTCTGATGTGAGTTTTCACAGCATTGTGTATGCAGTGCGCCTGGCACCTTTAAAATTAGGATAGCTGCCACAGGTGTTGAGGAATCGAGGAACAGCGTGAGAGGTTCTTGGTAGGACATTTTCACAGAGATGCTTGAGGAACATAGAGCAAGGGTTGGTACCACTGCTCAGGCGGAGTGGGTGTCTTCCCACCTTACATTTGGATCTGAAATGTCAGCCAATCTGCCCTGGCAGCTACTGGCGGCTGGCACATTTGGTGCCCAGATGGAAATTCCCAACAGAACCCGGCTCTAGAAGGAGGCCAAATGATGGTCTGTGAAGACTCTTTCCAATAGGAACCAGGAAGGAAGGAGCAAAAAGCTGAATCATGAGGTGCTGATTTGACCCTGCCAAGACCCTCACTCTCCTATTCTTGACCAGATCCTGGGCCCATCACAAGGGCCAGAAAGGTCATCCGACTGGGTCTCACAATTATGGAGAGCACCTATGTTGGATGTTAGATATTATCTATGAGGTGTAGGGCCACAATCATGGGAATGAAAGAAGTAGGTATCCATCCCCCAACTTGAAGCTTGTGTCCATTACTGGATTGCACTGTTTATGCCACATTACAAATGAATGTTTTAAATCCTGTAATTATTGTGTGATGAAGACAGTGGTTTCCCACTGTGTTTGTGGCAAAAACCATCACTTTGTTAAAGATAAACAAAATATTTCCCTATTTTCATTACCTTGTTTTGGCATTTCTTAATTATTTTTAACATACTTGGAACTTTAAATACATAAGTGGCAAGGATTTTGGTCAATGTCTATATTAAACCTTTTCTTTTTATGTTTTTTCCCCTCACTTCATTAGATTCAAACTGTAACGAAGAAAGTCCTGGTGGAACCTCAGTCAGACGAGGAGGGCAATGCCACCAATGTTGTCATGTCCCTGTTGAACGAGACTGTGACAGAGGCACCTGAGGAAACGAACGTGGTTATCAAGAAAGGCCTGGAGTTCAAAGATGGCATGAATGTCTTAGGTAGGCAACCTGGGAGAGCCGCCTTTGCCTCCTCACAATGGTCAGCCTTTCCTGCATCTCAGCCCCTTGGCATCCCTCACTCCTTTCTCAGGAAAGCAATCACTCTGCTGTCCTCTAGGTGGAGCAGGAGGCTCTCTCTGGGGATTGACTGAGGGCCACTGAGACTCACTAAGGAAGCTGAGGGATTAAGGCAGAGGGAGATGGGCAAGACTGTGAGGGGATATGGCAACTAGAGGTTGATTATGGGAAAAGAGAGGGGACTCACATTCACTGAGCACATTCCCTGACTTTCCGTGCAGTGTTGGCAAGTCATGTTCTCTGACTGTTTTTCATCAAGTACCACATCCAATTCTTTCATTTTTTTAAGCATTTTTCTTTTTGAGCTGCCCTTGTGTGCCAGTGCTGTGTGAGACACGGAGGACGGCCCATCCTGACTCTTAGAGTCTGTAAACAAACGCTGCGCTATCGGGAGTGTAAAGTGTTGGCACTGGGGATTCTCTTGTTTAACTTTCTGGGATTCCAGTGAGACCTTTCCCCTGTCCTGGAGCCTTCTTAACATGCCATCCCAGGGGTTCTTTGGCTCTGCAGTTGGACAGATTGGGTCTGGACCCCATATGGACCATTCACTGGTTATCTGGGCATGGGCAGATTGCTCTGCTTCTCAAGCTTCATTTGTAAAGTGGGGATGGGACTGGCATTTCTCTTGTAGATAATTATGAGGATTAAAGGAGATTATACATGTAGAAAACAACAGAGCATGCCATGTGTTTTATTCATGTGAGTTATTCCTGTTATTATTGGTGGGTGGGAATTTGAGGAGCTCAATCAGAAAACTCCCCTCACAGAGGATAGAGACTCCTGTCATGTGAGTGTTTGCTCAGGTGCGTCCCTGTTTACCCCCTGGGTCCACTCCCACTATAATCCCAATCTACTATTAGAATAGTATCCCCTAAAGAGGAGAGAGAAGTCATCACCTGGGAGAAATGGAGGATATGGGAGGAAGAAGTAGGTTGGTCCATGTAGCAAGATTTATGTGAGAGCTGTTCTGCAATGGATGAGCTCAGTGGTCCCCCCCCCACTTTGACATCTAGGAGATCAAATGCACTTGTCTCTTTAGTAGGGCTGTCAGATAACATACAAGATGTCAGGTAGATGTGGATTTCAGATAAACAACGCCAAATGTTTTAGTGTAAGCATGTCCCAAATATTTCATGGAACATACTTATGCTAAAAATATTTACTCACTGTTTATCTGAAGTTCAAATTTTAACTGCTTGTATGTTTGTTTTAAATGTGATAACCTTACTTCTAACTCATCCTGAACAGCTGAGAGAAAGAGGTAGAGGGGGAGGATGGCCCTGCCACTGAAAGGGGAAGCTTCAGTGAGGGACCTTTTCTGTTTGTCCTGGCAGGAAGCAGGTGGGTAAGTGAGAAGGACGGAGGAGACAAGCTGACTGTGTTGGAAGGCAATGAAAGATCCGCAAACATTGTGGACCGTTAGTGTGAGGTGAGAGGAGGAAGGAGAGAGAAAGGGGAAGGGCTCCTCTGAGGAGGGTTTGCAAACTCGGCATCCACCCCTTCTATTCCACTGCCTAGATACCTGTGACCCTTCCAGGACCTTCCCAACTCCTCTTGGTTCCCCAAACCCTGTGGTCAAAGTGCACCCACAATCTTCTACACACTCTGAAGGAGGGTGAGGCCATGAGTAGTGGGGCCAAAGCTTTGGGGTGAATCGTTCAGATTTTCATGGTCATATCCAGAATCTCAGTGGATTCAGGGAAGTCACATGGCCTTTGGCTGCAAAAGGGAGTTTCAACACAACTCACCACTCTTTCAACTTCAGCAACCAAGTCTAAGAGGGCTTTGTTCAAATGAAACACCCTGTTACAATGAAAGAGTTCCAAGAGGCAGTGTTTACAGCAATTCCAAGTGAGGACTGAAGCTCTGGAAAGATGAGGGAAGTTAGATTGTTGAGAAGCTTCCCATTTACAAATCATGGCTGAAATAAGGTTCTTTCCATGGTCTTCCAGGGGCAGAGATGATGGCTTTTTTTTGTTTTTTAGTTTAGTTTTTCTTTTGGCTTTGGAAAGTCCCAAGAACCAAGCTTTGCAATGAATGAAGATAAAACCCTGAATCTGGTCTACATCTTTAGGAGTTCATTTCTCTCCTCAAAAACTCCAGACCACTTCTAGGCTCCACTTAACCCTAACTGCTTAAATAAACTCCTGGGAGAGCTTGCTGCTTTAAATAGGTCTCTCATGGACTCATAAAGATGGCCAGTTTCTGCTGATCCTGTGAAGAGAGCTTTTTCATCCTAGTTCTTGGAGACCTTGAGACCTTGTGTGTTTTCTCCATTTTCTCTTGAAATATCCAAGTGGAATTACCAAGCAAATCTAGTTGTTCTCAGCCAGAATGTTTACAGATTAGTTCTCACCACACACCTAGCAAGCTCCTCTTCATGGGCTTGGGAATAGCCTGAATCTAATCTCATACAATATGGCAAGACTAGATGACTCTCTCTTGGTCACTGTAACTGACCCTAAGCCTTTGTCTTTATGGCCAATAACTCACTTGAAACTTATTTGTCAGTCTTACTGGCCAAGCTGAAATGGGAAAATATTAAATACCAAGGATTAACAATCCCAAATTCAAGTGCTGAATTCTTTTTGCTGAAGAGAGAGAACACAGCCGAGGGTAGTTGAACACTCTGGACTGATATGTGCTTGGCATGGAGAGGTGAGTGATTTTGGCGACTAGGGAAAAGTTAAACCCAGAAGCCAGAGAGAAAGAATTCTGCTTTAAGAGAATAAAATTACAAAGCTATAATTTACCTGCAGGCATAACTGGACACAATAGGAAACTGGATGTCGTAGGGAGGGACTGAAAATTAGGCCTGCCAAACTGGGACAGGGTGTGTGTGGGGAAGAGGAGGGAGGGAGAGAGGATGGGCCATACTATATAGTTCAGAGAAAAAGTAAGATGGGCAAGCAGTGTCCTATTATGAAAGGGTTATCAACATTGATTTATAGTCCATGCAACTGGAGCCTTAAGATTGGTAAGAATGGGACAGGAGTGGGGTCATGTGGTATCTGGCTATCAGAAATCCAGACAGCCCCCAGGGAGTAGTGGTGATGTCTGTTGGCCATGTAGTGACCCCCAGTCCCCGTGTGGGTCTGGGTGAGACTCCAGGCCTGGGAATGACACAGTGAGAGGGAGGGTGGAATGGAGTGGTGGGGGAGAGAATCTTCTAGGGAGAGAATAGCTCTCTAGACCTGGCTTTTCTATGAAGAACTAAAGTATAGGACAGGTTCCCAGGACAGATACTCAGGCACAGGAATGAAGCAAAAGTCAACGCAGAAATAAGACTCAAGGTTGCATGTTGGAGATGGTCCAGGATCTGCAGTTTGGTTCTTACGTTAATAGCTCGGGGCAGAACTCCTCAAATCCTTCTGGCCTGGGGTTAGGGTTGACCCATGAGGCTAGGGTGGGACTGTATTTAGATGTAAGTGAAGCGATGCAAGTGAAGGGAGAAGAGGACTGAGGGACTAGAGAGTAACAGTCTATGCTCCTCTGCCTTTATGATCCTGAAAAAAACAGTAAGAAAGGAAGCAGTCTACCTGTTTTGACTATGAAAAGAATTATAATGAATTAATAAATAACAGGTTAAACCCAAGCAAACTTAGTCAATTGGAGTTTCCCAAGTGTTTTGGATTTCTCATTGCTTTCCATTTGATTCTTTGACATTCTTCCTCCTTCTCACATTAAGCATGCAGGAAGAGAAAAAATAATTTTATGGTTAGGATTTTCCTAGAGTGAAACATACCAGTCATGCACTAATTTGGGATAACACCAAACTAGTACCAACATAACCCCGGCAGAACTTTATTGGCTAATTGGTTTCTGCGCATCTACTGTTGGCTCCAAAGTTTGCTTGATAATCCCCAAGTCCCAGCAAGCCTGCCTTCGTTTATCTCTGTACTAATGGAGTCTGATTACAAAGGATTTCATAAGTGAGGAGGAGAGAGAAGAGAGAACTTTTTAGTTTGGAACAAAAATGAATTCATTTTCTTCAAGGAACTGTCCTACAGTTCAACTTGCTCTTGTGGAACATGTTAAGGAAAGCCATATTTTCTAGGGAAAAGGGATTTTCAGTGTGAAGTACAGTGCTATTATCTTCTAATGCCTAACTCACAGAGTAACATGTGGAGAGAATGTGGCTCCTGTGTTGGGAGTGGTAAAGAACCAGAAGAAACACATACTTGATAACTTGTCCTGTGTGATGTGATTCGCCAACAGGTCTGATAGGGTTTTTCATCGCCTTTGGCATCGCCATGGGGAAGATGGGAGAGCAGGCCAAGCTGATGGTGGAGTTCTTCAACATTTTGAATGAGATCGTAATGAAGTTAGTGATCATGATCATGTGGTAAGTGGGCTTGTTCTTACCTCAGTGTGGTGGGGGTATGAGACGGTTTTGGGGTTCCCAGGGAACAATGGATCCCCAGCAGGAAAGAGTGGGTAGGCATGGACCAAGCCAAAGGGCTCTACAGAAAGACTTTAAGAATAGAATGAAAATTTCTTTTTTGGAGCTTTCTTCCTCTAGAAAATGGGTCAGAAAACTATGGCCTGTGGCCTAATCCTGCCTGCTCTTGTTTTGTAAGGCCTGTGAGTTAAGAATGGGTTTTCTGTTTTCACTTTGTTGAAGAAAAATCAATGGAGTAATAATATTCCACAGCACATGAACATTAGATGCAATTCACATTCTGTGCCCATAAATAAATTTTAATGAAACAGCCACACCCACTTGTTCACACATTATCTAGGGTTGTTTTTGTGCTAAATGGAAGAGCTGAGTAGTTCTGCTCAATACTCTATAAGCAGCAAAGCCTAAAGCATTTACTATTTTGTCCTTTACATAAAAAGTTGGCCGATCCCTGCCCTGGAAGAAAAAAAAAACAACAAAAAAGAGAGACCAATGGGAAAAACCAATCAGTAATACTGAAGCTGTGCAGTACCTGGAACCACTGAGATGAGCCTAAGGTACCAGGGATGTCATGGCATGGCGTGACCCAGGGTGTGTGGAAGAGCAGCTACATAAGCAGTGCATCTTAGAGTGGGGTTGCTCGTGCCTCACATGGGAGGAAAACAGGCAGCTCTCAGGCCACGCAAACGAAAGTGAAATCACAAAGGATACACTAGACCTAGAACTGTATGTGCACTTGGAAATCTGATTCGATCCTCCAGTTTTACAGCAGAGAAAACTGGTCCAGAGACACTACATCTTGATACTTAAGTATCATCATAATCATTATAACAATAAAAGCTACCATGTATTGATTTCATCTGCCAAGAACCACAATGGGCCCTTAATATCTATCATATGTAATCCCAACAACTCTGTAAAGATAGTATTATTATTCCCATTTTACAGAAATGGCAACTTGAGGTGCATTTACATTGAGGTGAATTAACTTACCTAAGATTATATAGCTGGGTAAAGGAAGAGCTTGAGTTTGTACTGATTTCAAAATCTTTCATGTGTAGATGGTGGGGATGGAGCAGGGGAGGTTTGTTTCTTTGAATCATCTAAGTGATATTATCTCCATTTCATGTCATGGGTGTTTATGTCAGTGGCTCTGAAATCTGGGTAGCCCAGCACAGCATGAGTGTCCACTCCTTCATCAAGAGAGTTGTGCCACCATCAGTCACTGGAAACTTGCAGTGCCCTGTATCAATTAGACAGAAAGGTTTTTATATGCATCTGTTTTAAACCCCTATGATGGTCCTGTTTGCCTGCCTAGAAAAAAATAAAACCATTATCAGACTACACCACATCTATTTGCCACAGGAATTCTGGATTTCAAATTCTCTCTGCATGCTCCAGTCCTACCCACCTTCTTCCCCAATCCTCTGATCCTTTTCTACTTCCATATGGTGCCTTCCACTGAAATTCTATCTTCCTTCTCTTCTTCCTTTCCTTGGCCCCTACTTCCACCTTAGAAGAGCAAAACCTGTTTTTGACTTATTTTTTACCTCAAAAGAACCAAACACAGTGATGTAGTAAATTCTTACTAAAAGTTCAGAAATGAGTGGCGTAGCTGAAGACCCCAGGGTCTCAGATCCCAATAATATTCCTCATGACTTCATGAACCATATTTAATAGACTTGGCTTGCTCAGATCATTGATATATTGTGCTTTTAAACATGGAAAGGATGCTGGTAAAATAGTGTTCTTTCTGATTACTGTACTGGTTGTTCAACCTTGTAGGTGATGTTAGATTTCTTCATATTTCTTTTGTGTGAAGATTTAAAGTCACACAATATAATACCATAAAAATATTTTAGAAACTTAGATCTGTTCCAAGCATGCTGAGAATTTAATAAATGATAAAACAACAGCAGAATAGGCCTGTAGCTATTAAACATTAGGATTTGCCCTTGTTTCCTAGAATTTCTAGCAGAGTCATCAACCTTGCTTTAAAAACCAGTTTGTATTTCTGTATTATGATACCAATGATGTGGTCAATTTCTGAGAGTTCCTTCCTTTATCCATACCAGTATTATTTCCACTGAGTCCTTGAAGGAAAGGGAATCTTCAAGGCAATCAGATGAGTCATGGGATAAAGTGTAGCCTCCCTTCTCCCCAGGGATGGAGGGTGGTGTGGTTCAAGAAGTTTCTAATTCATTGAAGCCAAAACCCCTAAAGACTTAGCATCCTATTTCAGGAGATGAGGAGCATTTGTAAGTCAGGAATAAGACGTGTGGAATGATTTCTGACAGCTGTTCAGTTACCTCATCTAGGCAAACAGTCAGGAGGGTGTTATAGGACATGAGATGCCAATTTACACGTTTCTTTCATTCTTGAGCTGCCATGTCAGCATTTGATAACGGTGTGCGTGAGACGGTTCTGGGTAAAACAGTCAACTACTCTGACCCCATTAAAGCTTAAATAATCAGTTTTTTTCCTAGGCTTTTTCATGTGTTAGTAAGCATAGTAATAAAAGGAAAATATAACATAGGGAAGATTACTATTATTCTAATAATTATTAAATTATAACAGTTAAAAAATTCTTGTTATATGCTCAGTACTGTTTCAGTTACTGTACTGTACCTATTTATTCTTGAGGACATTATTATTATTATGATAGTCATTATTAAATCATAACTAAGATTTATCAGATTCCTGCTATACGCTAAATACTATTCCAGTTACTTTATAAGCATTAACTCATTTATTTTTCACAATAATGCCAGCAAAAATAGGTACTTTTGTTAGCCCCATTGTGCAGATAAGAAAACTAAATACGGAGGTTAACTTGCCCAGTGTTGTACAGGAAATGGTACCTAACTCAACTTCTGTCTGACTTTAGACTGGTTTGGAACCAGGATCTTCCTAGAACTAGCTGTGTGAGTTTAGACAAGTTAGACACACTCTAAATCCCACAGCCTAATCTGAAAAATCAACTGATCATAGATAGAATCTATATCACGCTATGAGAATTAAGTGAAATTGTGACCAACAGTCATGGAGCATTTCCTATGAGCTGGGACCTGTGTAAACACTTTATGTGAATTAGTATTAGTATTATTGTAATTTTGTTATTAACATTACTATCATAGAGTCAATCCATATCCTTTGCTTCTCTGTGTTTATCAATTCTTTAAGAAGCCTGCAAGGCTCTCTGATTCATCAAAAAAATAGAAAGAAAGAAAAACCCTGTATTTTGGTGTAATTTTCATATCCTTATTTTTCCAAAGTTCTTTAAAATATGTTTTTCATAATTTGAAAACCTTAAACAGAAAGTGAAACTTTTCATAATCTCACCAGCATAAAAACATAAAGTGAGAAGTGAAATCTCTGTCCATTCTTTCAATTCTCCCTCCTCGTTAACACACAACCACCATCTTCCATCCATCCATCATCCATCCATCCATTCTTTTGCTTCATAAATAGTTTTTGAGCACCTCTTCTATGCCAATAACAGTTTTAGACACTGGTGATATAATGGTGAATAAGACAGAGGAAGATTCCTGCCCTTATGGGGCTTGCATTCTATTGAAAGGAGAGAGGGAAAAAAAGGAAGCAATAAGGATCCAGACAGTAATCAGTGCAACAAAGTCAATAACAGGGTAGTGGGATAGAGAGTGATGGAGGGATGGAAGTAGGGTGTGAACCCCATCAGGAGGGGCCAGAGTGGGCTAGGAAAGTGACTTTTGGTGAACACCTGAAGAATAAGAGGGGGAAAGCTATGTGAAGAACCGAGAGGAGAATTTTCCAGGAAGAGGGGCCAGCAAGTGAAAGGTTTTGAGGGTCAGAATGAAGGTCTGGGAGTGTCTGGAGTGTGGTTGGTTGGTGAGAGACAGGTGGAAGATGGTGAACTTTGAGACGTGGACAGGAGGCAGATTCCACAGGGCTCTGTCAGCCACCATGATGAGTTGGGGTTTTATTTACTTATAAAAGGAAGGATATGGAGGGTTACAAGCCTGGAGAGTCTATGAACTTTTTCCTTCTATCCTGATGAAAAGCCCTAATTCACATACGGTAACTCTCAGCTGTAGTCACTCCTTGGATAGCCAGAGCATCTCTCCCTAAGTGGGTTGAGAAAAAAAGATTTGTGTTACTTCCTGAGCCTTAGTACAGATAGGACCTTTTAGGTAAGTCTTGAATGTATGTTTAACTCTTAATTGACAGACACTTCCAATTATGAGTTCTTGGAATCCATTCCAAAACTGGCAGACTAGTGTTGCTATTGGAAACATATGGGTCAGAACCAAAGTGGCTTTATGGCAAGACTAAGAAATTTCCTCCACTGACCTCCACTCCAAATTTCTGGCCCACCATCTGTACTGTGCCTGAAAGTCCCAAATTAATTACTTCAGTGGATTAAGATCAAAAGCCCTGCATAAATTGGAGCTAAAGTAAATGGTTTTCAAAGGCTAACCAATTAATATCTGCATTTCATCAGTTTCAGATCAGATTTTATTCCTTGAAACACTGGCTCCAAACACACCAGAATTACTTGGGGAACTTGTTTAAAATACAAATGCCCCTAGCTCCAGGAAATTCTAGCTCAGTAGGTATGTGGTGGACCCAGGGAATCCATGTTATTACAGGCAGGTGGTTCTGAAGCAGGTGTCTATCAGTGCACAGAGACACTGACTGAATTCTGGGTATGTTAAGTGCTGTGTACAAGTTTGTGTTTGTAAAGGAGAGAGCAGCCCTAGGAGGTGCCTTCTGTGGGAAACTTAGGGTGACAAGAACTGAGGTACAGCCTGGGCAGAGGCAAGAGCTGATGATGCAACAGTAAGAAAAAGACTTGACAAGCCAGTCCTGGATGAATCAGCAGCTTTGAGAACCATGCCTGGAGCTGAGGCTACAACCAGTCTGTAAGAGCAGCACGGAAGCCATTCCCTCCCCTAGTTCTATAGTCATGTCCTTCTAATTTAGAAACTGGTCCAACAGTAACTGGGCATCATTTGGCTTCACAATGCTTACTGGAGCCCTCAGCCTCTTTATGCTCTTAGGTTTATGGTTTTGATTATTTCTTTCATCTTAGAAATTTCGAAAGGTGACCTTGGGCCTTGGGCATCTGCCCTTTATTTTTCATGGAGTGTCATTTTTAGTAAGATAATTCATTAATATGGAATCCAGAAACTCAGAAGCTAGAGGTTACACTATTTGTTTTGAAAACTAGTGCAAAGAAATAATGGCCCTAAAAGACATCATAGAATAAAGGCTCTTTCCTCATTCTGTTAATGTTAACCTAGTTCCAGAGACCAAGGTGTTTGGGTTAACCTGGACCTCTGTCATATTTTTTTACCCTAATGCTCTACCTTCTGGCCTTTGAATAACACTTTCCGTTTATACTGGGAAGTCAAGTTTCTCCCAGAGAGCTGAGTGCCCCGGAGATAACCTGCTAGCTCTCTCTAACATTTAGCTCTGGCTCAAATGGGTGCTCCGGAGGAACTCCATAGCTGGTCTTGCTTGGCAAAGGTCCTAGAAAACATTTTCTCTCCATTCTACAGATTGCTTGTACCATGAAAATAGGAAATTAAATAGCACCCAAAGCAGCTCATATTTATCTTTTTCTGGACATCTCTAAAGGATGATTGGAGCTTGGGAAAGAATTAATTTCTTGGTTTATGGTGATAAATTCTTGTTAGCTTTATTGGATAGTGCATTTTGCTCAGTTATTTACAATACCAGGGAATAAAAAGCTGGCTCCTGAGACTAGCCAGGTGGTCTATGAGATGTGACTTTGGGCACACTAGGAGAATGTAAAATGGCAGGAAAGCCAACAGTTTAACAACATGACCTCCTAATACCTGCAGAGGAAATCCTCAAACATCACAGCCTTCACCCCAGGAAAGGAGAAGTGGAGATGATAGATGCTCATCATGAAGAGAGCAGCTGTGCTAATGTCTCAATTAATTGCTATCAGTTACAAACCTGCTCTTTCAGGAGGAGGTTCCACTTGAGAAAATATTTTGCTCATGAGAGCATCCACCATGGGGTGGCAGTAGCCTGTGAGATGTCTCAGAAAGTCTCATTAACTCAGGTTTGCCTCATTCAGCAAGGGTGGTGATGGGCCATGCACGTATGTGTAAAAATGGAACATTCACGGGATGACTTACTTTGTCAGGAGTCAGAGAACTAATGGGGCTAACAGGCATGGGGAAGGGATTTTTGACAGTGAGTACATATGCATGTTCTAACCAAGACCACATAGCCAGTAAGTAGCTGGAAAGTTCTATGTCTTAGGTAATTGTGTAAATGACTCTCATGTACTTACTCCTCACTGATTTTCTTTATCCAGGAAAGGGCTTGCTCCTGGCACAATTACAAAAAAGTACCAAATCCATCTGAGGTGTCCTGTTCTCTTTCCTGACTCCCATACCTGGCTGGCTCACATCATTTTCCCCACAGTCTCTCAGATATGTTCATAATTCTCAATAAGGTGTCAACCTTCCCACAGACATTTTCATTTCAGTCAGAAAGTATCACAGGCTGAACAAGTTCATGCTCCAACAACACCAGATCGGGCCATAAAAAGAGGATGTTGCCAAATATGCAAAAAAATACACTGAGAGAGGATATGTGGATCTTGCTCAAAAGTGAAGGCGAGGGCAAGGGTAAATTGTTTCCAAGCTCTCTATAAAACAGTAATACTGTAGAAACAGAAAATAAGTTTATATAGGATAAACTGGTATATGGTACACTGTCTGCTTGTCTACAAAGAGCTACGATTGCTCATTAAAAGGAAGTGGGCTGGCTTGGTAGGGGAAAGAATCCCAGTCATGGAGTCCACAGATCTGAGAGTGTTCTCCTCCTACTTCCTGCTTTAGTGGTCTTGAGCTGGTTATTTAACCATTCCAAACTTCAATTTCCTCATTTGCCAAACAGGAATAATGATACCTTGGTTTTAGGTTGTGGTAAGAATTAAGTGAGGCAATGTGTGTGGGGCTCTCACTGTACTGCTTGAAACATGAGAAATATCCAACATTATTGTTAGAGTAAATATAGGAAGAAATACTTTCTGACTTAGAAGTCATAAAACAACATTTCTCTAAGTGTTCTCTTCGGCTCAGACAGTTTTCTTATTTTGGCAGGACTCCGCTCTCTCATTTTAATGTATTTCCTATCTTCCAATTTACAAACACCAGTTTATAGCTTGGTGAAACTGATGAACTTTCAGAAGTTCAAAATGTATTCCCAATTTTAAAGGAAGGAACTGTGGAACAGAGAAATCAAACAAGGTTCTCAATTTCATAGCCTGTGTGTCTCTCAACCTTTAGCTTGGTGCATCCCTAACGGGTGGTAGAGCTCGTCTGTGCTCTGCCTAACAATCACTTGAGCAATAAAGTTTGCCTTTGGATTTCCCATCAGAGCAGAAGACACCAAATCCATAGAACAGATTTCAGAGAATGCAGTGAGTCTGAAGTAAAACATAGCATCTGTTGAATTTCATGGTCCTCTTTTAGCAAAACTTTTGTGCAAAAATGTAAAGGGTTTTTCCTCAGGGTATGGTACAGAGGAGGGCCCAGCGAGTTTAAGTTCTGAATCCCAAAAAGTCCTCTTCAATGCCTTTTCTTTTTTTTCTTTTATGTTTTGCAGGTACTCTCCCCTGGGTATTGCCTGCCTAATTTGTGGAAAGATCATTGCCATCAAGGACTTAGAAGTGGTTGCTAGGCAACTGGGGATGTACATGATCACGGTGATTGTGGGCCTCATCATCCATGGGGGCATCTTTCTCCCCTTGATTTACTTTCTAGTGACCAGGAAAAACCCTTTCTCCTTTTTTGCTGGCATTTTCCAAGCATGGATCACTGCCCTGGGTACCGCTTCCAGGTAGAGAATACAAGAAAACACCTTCCTTTCTCTCTGCTCACTCCCTTACCCTCTTTGTCACTTCATCTTTTCAAAACCCTCCCATCACAAAGGTCAATGAGAACACTTTTCACATATTAAAATATTTTTGAAAAAGATGCAAACTTCAAATTTTTGGCTTCTTCTAGGAACTTTTGAGCTTTCTGATGAACATTTTTGCTGATTTGCAACTGTGTTGGCAATATGATCTCATATGAAATTACCCAGATGAAAGCCATGTATAGCATTAGTTTAGTTTTAAATATTTTCCAAAGAGATTTGACAGGATGTTATTCTGTTTAAGAAATTCCCCCATGTGTGATTTGAAAAATGCTATCACAAAATACCACTCATTGGTATAATTTTTCAAAAGTAGGATGAGCTTTTGAACAGTAAATGGTTTATTAGGTGAGATATTACAAACAAACCAGAAGTCTCTGACCTTTGTGTGAACCTCTGTCCTATTGGTTTTGAGAAAATCAAGCAGGCATTGATTTGACTGGACCTTGACTGAGAGTCAGGTACTTCTTCATTACCCAGCTCCGGTTCCTAGTTGTTCAGAGGCCAGTGAGGACTCCAGAGATATGCAGGGAAAAAAGAAATTTTGGGATATTATCATGGACTGAATTTAGCAAAAACAAACAAATACATAAGCAATGTATGGCAATTTAGAATTTCAATGACTGGAAGAGTTTTCTCCTCTCAGCTGGCAAGTTATTTGCATTTCTGTGCCTATATTCTTGGGTCACCAAAAGACTGAAGTCATAAAGGAGGTGGCAGGGAGGCAAGTGGACTCTGTAACCCACCGCTCAGCATTGTCCCTGGAGCCACAGGTCGTCAGGACCTTGTTGTAGAGTCTCTGCCCTGCAGGGCCAGATCTGAGGCTACTGAACAGACAGTCAGGATTTCCTCATGTGACCTAACAGGCCAATAGTGGCAACCAACCTAAAAGCCAAATTACATGTCCATCCGGCAAGTGATTGGGAACTTGGTACTATAGAATGTGGGGTTTTGAAAATAAACTGAACCTACTGCCAGGTTCCAAAGATGAAGGGAAATGCTTCACAATTTCCTTGTTTCCTTCTTGTTTCTAGAAATTTCCTATGGTTAAGTATCTCTAACCAGGGAGACCATCTGTCTTTGGAGAAAAAAGTAACTTTTTTATACAAACATAAAAACAATTATGTTTAGTTTCATTTTTGTTTTCTGGCTATGAGCTTATTGTGGTATTTGCTTAGTGTGAAAAAGGGACAGTGAATAAAATATTTTGAGGAAGAAAATAAACCAGTTATTCTATCACCCAGGGATAATTGGTAGTGACCTTTTAGTTAATCTGCACAATTATATACCTTTCCAATTCTTACTTTGTATAGTTATTGTAAACTGCTATTTTTTACTGGTCAACATATCATGAAAGTTATATCTATCAATATAGACCTACTATTTTTTAATTGCATAATAATACACTGTATGTACTATAATACAACCCACTTTCACCCCTTGATGTGCATTTAAGGCATGCCTGTTAAACAAGCCTCTGACAAGTATCCTTGTAAATATATCTTTGTAAGGTGGTCTGATCATCTCCTCAGGATGAGTTTCTAGAGTAGCATTTCTGAGTCCAGTAAGCACACTGACAGTTTTAAAACAAATCACCAGATTGCTGTTCAGAAAGCACTTTCATTTATGTCACCCCTAGCTGGGTGTGAGAGTGTGCCTCTCCCCACCTGCTCACCAGCACTGGGTGTTATCACTCCTTTCATGCTTTCTGATCTTTTTGGTGAAAGGTGATCTCATTTAATTTGCATTTCTTTGAGTACTAGCAAAAGGAAACATCTTTGTGTTCTTATTGACCTCCCTTCTCTGCCCGGTCCTATGAATTGTTTGTGATCTTTATTTCCTGTTGGGATATTCATCCTTTCTTAATTTTTTTTCAACTCTCTGCATGTATAAAAATATAAACTATGTGTCACATATTGCCATTAATGTCCCCCCTTACCTGACTGTCTTAAAAATTTGCAGTGCTTTTTGCCAGTAGAAAATTTTAATTTGTATGTTGTTGTTGAAGCTGTCAATATTTTCCTTTAGTATTTAAAATTTCTGCTTTGTTTAGGAACATCTCCACCGAAGATTATAAAATATTACTTTATGTTTTCTTCCAATACCTTTATGAATTTGTTGTTTATGCTAGTTCAAAAGTATTATTATTATCTTTTCTTTGAATGACTGGACAGTTATTCCAGTACTTTTATAAAACAAGGTAAATCTTAAAAGCATATGGATGGCCCAAATTCATACTTACATCAGACAAATGCCTGGGTTATCTGGCCAAAGCCACAAAGATTAGATCCATTTTTCCTTCTTACTTTGTAGTTCATTTGAAAAAAAAAATGTGGTTTTAATCTTCAGTTAAAATGTGGCTTTGCCTGGATGTGGAGTTTCTTTTTTTAAACAAACAAACAAACAAACAAACAAACAAACAAACAAACATAAACTTTAAAAAAGTTAATGTGGCAGGAATCATGTACTAAGAATTAACTTTGCCGTTATGACCAGAGGGGAAAAGGCACAAAGCCCCTGTACCAGCTAAATATCCTTCCCACCTACCTGGACCTTGGACTGAATGGGGATTTGCTGGGGGCTCAGCTCCGTTTTCTCAAACAGCCCAGAGACTGGTGTCCAGGAGGACAGATGGGGTGGGGGAAGAGGCTGGAACACAGCCCTCTGCATCCCTCTGACTTCAGTGCATGTTGTTCGAACTAATCTGGAAAAAAAAGAGAGAGAAGAATCTCAAGTGTCTAATAGTTAGTTACTATCAGCGACATTTGAAGACTGTCATACGGCCATTGAGAGGTCAAAAAACAAAACAGAACAAAAAAAACCAAAACCGATGTCAGAATGTCAGAAGGACAGGAAAGAGTTAAAATTCTGAGGTCCCAGTTTGGGTTGGTTGGGTTTATATGGATTTTTAAGGTACGAAGCCTGTCCAGTAAAGAAACAGAGTATTTTCATGCCTTGCCAATTATTTCCTCCAATTGATTTGTCTAAAGATCCTTGATGGCATTTTGGGAAAATGAATGCAATAATAAAAATTATTGTATTCCAGTCTTCTCAAAAGTGTCCTCAGTTTCATACCTTTAAGAATCTCAGCTGCCAACCATGGTTGAGTAGCCATTCAGACTGGTCATGGTGCCCTGGCAACCCTTCAAAGGTCCTAGGAAAGGGTGGGATGGGGAGGCATGCAGCAGAGATGATTAAAGGGACACTAACTTGTCATTAAAACTGTTGGAGCAGTAAGCTGGTATAATGGTATTCAGATCCTAACTTTTCTCCCTGGGTCTATGAGGTTTTAGTAATGAGAAGTCTCCAAACATTGATTTCTTCTCCCTACCTAAGACCAAGGAGGAGGCATGAGACAGACCCCTGACCTGAAATCACAAAGAATGTTCTGGTAAGATGACTCTGGCTTCTCTAAGGTTATTATTAGGAGCTTGTCAGTCAATGGCTTGATAAGATGCAAATTTAGGTGACCCTAATTTTAGAGATTCTGCTTCATTGGTTCGGAGTAGGTACTAGAATCTGCATTTCGTTTAGTTTCTCTAAAGTTGACAGTGCTCTCCCACCTTGTGAGAAACCAAGACTTCTGCAAGGGTCTGTGTCAAGCTTGACTGGAGCCCTAATTCCAACTAGGAGGAGGCTGTAAAGGCAAGAGAGAAAAATGTGCTGTCTGCAGTTCACTTTGCGAAGGTTTTAATAGAAACAAATGAAACAAAAAATGAACAGAAGAAAGGAAACAACAAAAAATGGATCACAAATCCCTCTCGTGGTATTTTGAGTGCTCTGTATTGCTTCAGGTTCTTAAACTTTGAAGCAAATCCACCTACCTTCCCACACCTCTATCCACATGGAAATAATATTCTGACCTTCAGCAACCCTTATCCTTGCAGGTCTCCTATTTTAGAGGACACATGAATGTGTCAGGCTGAGTCATGTGGTCATGAATTTCTATCCCACGCCTGGGAGGAGTAGAGATGAAGTCACTCTGTGTTGGGTCTTTGATGAGTTACAGGGCCCATGCTTTTCTGCCCTATGTTGTTAGAGAGAGACTGATTGTATAATTGGCCAATGACCATTTATTAGGGAGTTGGACTGTTCGTGAGGGTCCCCAGTGAATTGCTAGAAGCTCAGTTTCAGACTAAATGGTGTTGAACATGTCCAGCCTTCTCAAAATCAACAGACCTACTTCAGACAGTTCCCAGGGGTAGGATGCAATGTATGTAGTCATTTAGTTGGAAACAGTGTGAAGTTATGGTCATTCAGAAATTCCTCATTCCGTTTCACTGTTGACAGTTGATTCTTTTTCTGACACTTTCTCGTTTTCTTGCAGCCCAATTAATTTGGGCAATCAGATGGTCTTAAAATTTAATCCAAGATGGAAACAGTGATCAAAGGAAAAAGAACTTGAAGCTCTGAGTAGATCTCAAAGCTGAGAACCAGTAAAAATATTTTGCTGCCAATTAGCATCTTAATAAGACTGAATCTGAATCTCCAAATTACTTGTTTTCCATTTGGCCCCAGATACTGCTTTTTCCCATGTCACATGGCTTGGCTGGAACAAAAGAATAAAGACTTGGTGGTAGTATTATGGTTTGTGCTCTGACCTGTTTCTCGAACAATGGACATAATTCGTGTCTTTTTCTTTCTCTTTTTATCCCTCAGTGCCGGAACTTTGCCTGTCACCTTTCGTTGCCTGGAAGAAAATCTGGGGATTGATAAGCGTGTGACCAGATTTGTCCTCCCAGTCGGTGCAACCATCAACATGGATGGGACGGCCCTTTACGAAGCGGTGGCCGCCATCTTTATTGCCCAAATGAACGGTGTTGTCCTGGATGGAGGCCAGATTGTGACTGTGAGGTGAGTGACGCGGGCGGGGTGAAGCACAGAAGCAACCTTCACCCTCTCCCCAGCCATGCTAACGCCATTTAACAAGGGCCACTTGAATTTCAGTTCTCCTGGCAGAAGAATGATGAAGGAAATAACAGAGATGAGGAATTATTGGCAGTCTCCAAGGGAAAATATTGTGACAGGAAAGAAGCAGGATCATACTAATGCTTTCAGTTTGTATTGCACATGTGAAATTCCTTCAGAAATTTGATATTATTCTATTTTTAATAATCCTGTGATGTCTGTCACATGGCAGTTATTTCTATGCCCATTTAATAGATGTGGAAGCGCAGGCTTTAAGGGACTTGGTAGTGTGTCAATTCAGAAAGAATACTTTCTCAGGAGGCCATTAAAAACCCATTGCTTCTCCAATAAACTTAAGAGATCACACCTATGTGATTTATCTAACCCTCATAACCACTCTTTGAGGTATGTACATGTTTTAGCCCATTTAGTCTGCTATAACAAAATATCATAGACTGGGTGGCTCAAACAACAGGCATTTATTTCTCACATAGTCCTGGAGGCTGGGAAGTCCAAGATCAAGGTGCCAGCAGATTCAGCTCCTGGTGAATGTCCTCTTCCTGGCTGTATGAGGCCGCCTTCTTGCTGTTTGCTGGCATGGCCTTTTCCTGGGGCATGGGCAGAGCGAGCTATCATAGTCTCCTCTTGTAAGGGCACTAATCCCATCATAAAGGCTCCACTAATTACTTCCTGAAGGGCCCAGCTGACCATCATATTGGAGATCAGGGCTTCAACAAATGGGTTTTGGTGGGGCACAACTCAGCTCATAGCAGTACTATAGCCAAACTTCAGTTTCCTCATCTATATAATGGGGACAATATTCTAGGGGCTTGAGAGCATTGTGCCTGATACATAGTCACCTCTCAATAAATGATAGCTACTAGTATTATTGCTGTTATTGATGTTCAATAAAATATAATACTTTACAGAATATCAAAGGTAAAAATGACAGTAATGTAGTGAGTGCCATGATGTTACTCAGTGGAAAACATGTTTCAGGCGAGAGCATCAAGCCTTCTGATCATGTCCTACAGACTGCATGTGTGGCTGCCAACATCCCTTGTTTAAAGACTCAAAGACAGACAGGGCTCCTTAATGCAGCCTCTTCTTTTGAAGCCAAGCAAAGGTGACTTCTGGTCCCTGAATTCTTGGTCTTGGTGGCAACCACACTTCCCACCCAGTTCACACCATTAGGTGAGAACTTAGAGATGGAAGAATGGACCAGTGACCAAGGGGTTGGGACTCAGTAATTCATAGTTTTCATGGGGCAGGATCAAGGGACATCAGGAGCCACCATGGTATTATAATTGAGCAGACAAGTGTTCAAATCCCAGTGGACCATGTTCAAGCTGTGCCACTCTAAGTTTCTGGATCCTTCCAACCCATGTTTCCCCATGTGAGAAGCAGCTACTACCATATGTACCTTGCAGGGTTGCTGTGAGCTTCTGCTGTGGTAATATGTGTGTAGTACCTTGTACAGCATCTAAGAACCAGCCCTAGAGAAGTGTGCCAGGGAGTGAAAGGACAGGAAGAACAAAAGGACAGGGGTATTGCTGGACTTCTAACTATACAGACCCTTTGTCCAGGGGAGGGTGAGGCTGTTACAGGGATGGAGTAACAGAGGGGGAACTAACTGCCAGAAAGAATTCTTTTTATAGGAGTTGTCTCTCACACAACCAAAAGGTAAACTAGACAATGTGGCCACAGTGCAAAGGGATGTGTAGAAATGACTCAATAGAATCGACTGAGTTTATAAGTAAAACAGCCTAGGCCAAGATCATTGGAACCTGGGAAGTTCCCCTTTCCTGGTGTTCTATTTGTGTCAGGAAATGGCTCTTGGGGCATTAGGGAAGTTTTCCTTGCAAAGCAGCCTCACCCTGTCCAGATTTCCTGATAAGACTGACAATTCACACGTATTGGAGGGTTGCAATGTGCCCAGGTTCTTCTTGGTGCCTTTTATTTATTAGCTCCCGATGACCTCATGAGCAAAAAACTATCAATAACTCCTTCTTTATAGATAAAGAAATCAAAGCACAAAAAGGTTAAGTAAGTTTCCCAGAGTCATGTGGTTAATGAGTGGCAGAGCTGGGATTTGGATCCAGGTTGTTCACTCCAGAACCTTCACTGACACGTACTACACATTACTGCCTCCTATGACCCAGGTGGGCCCAAGGGAAATGGAGTTGTCCAAGCCCTCACACCAGTTACACATTGATGGGGCAGGGCAGGAGTACAGCTGGGTTCTGTAGATCCTGCCTAGAGGAGGTGTCTGTCCGGTGACAGGCCCAAATCTGCAAGGATGGTGGTGTGAAAAAGCGCAAAACACAAAGCCTCCTGGGGCCTTTCTTTCCTCAGATGTGAGATTAGGGAACTCCAGGCCCCTCCCTGAAAGACCCAGAAGTCTGCGCTTGGGCACACTGACAGTCTGGGCTTGGTTAGACCAGTTTGGGAGCCTGATTCGTAGTTTGGAGCTGGAGGACCTACTCTAGAAACACTAGGATTGTATAAATGCAAAGAAAGCACCCATCTTTTCTTTTCAGCACCCACAAAAGCAAGTTGGGAATCAGTACTTTCAGAAGCATCCCTGCACTTATAAAGGACAGCTTTTATAAATGATATGGAGAAAAAAAGAGAAAAAGTCACGGCCTTTTGCTGGACCACAGAGACCAGAATGGCTAAGTGCTTGAGAGCATTGTGCCTGATATGAACTGCCCACCAAACCTGGTGTCTAAAACTCCTTCCAGGGACAACTTCACAGTGGTGCTGCGTTTGCCCTTGGTGTTGCTTGAAAGCAAATGATGAGATGCTTCAGAAAGAAAGCTTCCCATCATTTCATTATTGTTTCTTGGCCCCCTCTTTCTGAATAATCCATTTTCCAGCCCATGGTGAAATGTCCAGGCATCTGAAGCTTAATGCCATTTAGAATCTGTTGATTTGTTCCCTCACTGTCCACTCATTTGGGTCTGGATATTTGCTATTCTGAGTTCTCATGTTAACATTGGCAATGGCCTCCTCAGATTCTTACCACATAGTCCAAAAGCCTCTGGTGCTCACAGAGATGTAAAGGCGTAATCAGAAATGAATGCAGTGGTGTTCCTGTGGGAAGACTCAGGGTGATTTGTTTTTCTTCTTTAATATTTTCTTGCCTGCTTTCAGAGCCATGCTTACCTTATTTGAGCCCTGTGATATATTAGGCTAAATGGATGTCATGATAAGGAGAAGGCTCCAATCCATGAGTTCATAAGCTTACAGCATAGTTGAGTGGAATCAAACAGACCCTAATTCCTGGGTCTAGTACTCCAGATTTCTCTATTCCTTAGGAAGGAGAGGGATTTTATGACTGCTGGGAAGATTAGAGCTTAAAGTTGCCAGCCAGGGATGGTTTTTGCTAAGGCCTCTTTCTCTTCCTGTGACCTGGCCTCCTTTGTTCTCACAGCCTCACGGCCACGCTGGCGAGCGTAGGCGCAGCCAGTATCCCCAGTGCCGGCCTAGTCACCATGCTCCTCATTCTGACGGCTGTGGGCCTGCCAACGGAGGACATCAGTCTGCTGGTGGCTGTGGACTGGCTGCTGTAAGTGCTTGTGGGAGGGGTTCTGCTTGGGATGTGAGGACTGCCTCCTAGGGGTGTACAAGGAGCAAGGTTACACCCAAGATCAAAGCCAGTCACCAGGGCAACTCCCTCCCTTTCTCCCTTCCCTCTTCCCTCTAATAATCACTGAATGCCTTCTTGGGAACCAAACAAGAAAAGGAATTCTTGAGGGCCTCACAGTCTAGTGGCAATCAGATAAACCATAATTTGAAGTTAAGAGCACAGCAATAAGAAACCAACTACTAATGCATGCAAGAGAGCTCAGTACATTATGCTGAGTAAACGAAACACAAATATATGATTCCATTTATATGAAGCGCTAGGAAAGACAATATAATTTCTAGTAATAGAAAGAGATCAGTGGTTGCCTAGCCCAGCAGTAGGGGCCTGAAGATGAACTGGGTAGGGGCATGAGAATCTTTAGGAATGATAGACATGTTCCATATGCACAGGTGTCCACATTTGTCAAACTCATCAAACCATGCCTTTAAAATGGGTATATTTGATCATACATAAATTACACTTCAGTAAAGTAGGTTACAAAATAGCACATACCCCAAAGGACAGTGATGAAAAGAGGCATCCGTTCCCGGTCTAGGACAGAAGGGCAGAGAGGAGGAATCAGGAAACCCTGCAAATGGCACCTAAATCTGAGTGCTCACTAAGGTATCAGCCACTACAGCAAGCAATCTATGTCTTCCTCTTACAACAACCCTGAAAGTTTGGTTATTACTTGCATTTTATAGTTGAAGAAACTGAGGTTTAGGAAGGTAAAGAGACTTGAGGATCAACAGAAATTTGATTCTAGGTCTAGGTTTTGGGGAGCACCACCTTCTTAATCATGGCCATGTTCCACTTCAAAGGCAGTGATTGCTGAGCTGCACTGTCACTCATAGGTGGACATTACCCAGGTATATGTAAGCAAAGGGGGAAATAGAGCATTCCAATCAAGTCTGAGGCCAGCCACAGTGTGGGGCGGCAGTGTGGGAACCCACAAGTGGGTTCATATTTTTGGGGCACAAACCATGAGTCAGGGAGTGGCAAAAGGTTGGGCTAGATGGACACCCTCCAGGCCATGAAGAGGAGCTTGAAATTGACTGTACAAACAGCCCAGTTAGTGCTCCCAGTGAAGGCATTTTCCTAATGTAGGGCACTGTTAGAACACCACCCATTCACAAAGGTGGACAAGTCCTCTTTCGCATGGTTGGAATCTATCCCTGATAAGGGCGCATCTGGCCTCTGATATTCTGTGGGATGTAGGCTGATGTTTCCTGTTAGTCTTGGACCCAGATGACAGGGGCTGGAGGATGCCGTTGGCTTCAGTGTCAGAGATGCAGAGTGACAAATGCTGTTGCAGAGGCCCAAGGCCAACATTTTTCTCATTACATTTTTTATTGAAAAATAGTTGACATACAATATTATATTAGTTTTACTTGTACAAGATGGTGACTTGACAGTTACATACATTATGAAATGCTCACCACAATAACTGTAGTTACCATCTGACACCATGCAAAGTTATTACAATATTACTGACTATGTAGTACTTTTCAACCCTGTGGCTCATTTATTTTGTAACTGGAAATTGCCACAATAACTGTAGTTACCATCTGACACCATGCAAAGTTATTACAATATTACTGACTATATTGCCTATGTAGTACTTTTCAACCCTGTGGCTCATTTATTTTGTAACTGGAAATTGCCATATGGAGGGAGTGGGGGTTGAGTTAAATAGGTGAAGTGGATGAAGAAGCCCATACATTCTTTAAACCATTCTATATACCAGTGGCAATTTCTCTGACATTTATTAGCAGAGCATTGAAGAGCCAGAAGCCCCATGTAATGGACTTGCGTTCCTCCCATGCTGAGGCAGCAGTTCTTCCCCCACATTCACCCTTCCACAGAGCGTGAGTGGCTGAAGGGAAGAGCCTGTGGAGAGGCCTGAAGGAAGCCTGGCCTCTTCCTGAAACTTGCCTATTAAGGTTTACATTAGAAATGAGAGGTGGCTCCCTGACATAATCTGTTTGACTCAGAAGGGCTTCCAGAAAGGTCCTGGATCTTCCTGACTGATTCTTTCATGACCAGGGAAACGCTCTGGAAAAGTCTTTCATGGGAAGGTGAAGAGCAGATGAAATAATCTCTTATCCATCTGCTAATCTCAGCTGGTGGTAGTGGGGTCCTCTGAGCTATCTGGGTTGTTCTCTGTGCCCTATGAGCACACAGTAGGATCTCAATAAATGCATGCTAAAGTTAACCACAGAATTGCTGGGTGATGACCAGGGGATTTTCCATACAAGAAGACAGAGGAATCTGCCCAAAGTCCACCTGCTTCTCCTGTGACTTCTGCTTACTGCGTCCTCTGCCTCTTTGCCCCGTGAGCATCCAGACCTATGTTGCCACTGAGCATCCCTTGCCTGCTGTGACTACCTTGCCTAGCCTCTTCTTGGGCTTCTTTCTAAGGCCTGAAATCCACCATTAGAGATTCACCTAAAAATAATTATTGTAGAATCTGCCTCTCCCCATTACAATGCAAATGCGTTTGACTAGGAAAAAATGCATGAATGTTATCTGGAATGATGAAACAAGCTGACATTTGGTGGGTATCACAGTGTTCTTTACACCTGTTAATAGTGAATCTCTAAAGAGCCCTATAGTGTTTCACAGATGAGGAAACCAGGAATCAGAAGGGTCAAGTCTCTTGCCCAGGGCAGAGCAGAGCTTGTGTGGCCCGATCAGAGCCCTTCCTCTCAGCCTACACACCTTCTTAGTTAGTTCCAAGCCATCTACCAGTGGGGAGGAGGAGCAGGGAGGTCCAGAATCAGACAGGTTAGGGAAGACAGGCCTATTAGGGTTATTGTAGTTCTACATACTAACCAGAGAATTTTTTGTTTGACCTCTTTCCCCCCCCCCCTTTCAGGATTAAAACAAAATAAAAGAAAAATGGAGACAAATGGTCTTCCATGAAGGTCTCAGCCACTCTTAGGATTCAAGCCTCCTGCCTCAGGAGGTCAGCCATTACGGGCTTTGGCCTCTTGGCAGTCATTTGCTCTCAGACCTGTGGGATGAGAGTCATTCTATGAAACATCCAAGATCCTGCCTAGTTCTGACCTAAATGCCAGTGAATGGAATAGGAGGGCTGGGTCCTCTCCCGTCACCCCACAGGCGCTCACATGCTCATACTTGCATGGAGAGCAGGGTGTCCTAACTCCGGGGCTGAACTGTGCTGGCAGAAGGGAGTTGGCTGAACAACAACAAAAAACATGATGATACATTTAGATTAACCATATTGATGAAAGCGTGTATGAGAAAACTCAATCCCAGGCTGGCGCTAGAAAAAAAGGAGCAAATGAGGTGCTCTTCTCTAGTTCTGGGGTTGGGTCTCAGATGGGGGAGCTGTGTGACCAAGGGAAGAGAGGCAAAGAGGCAGGAGCCCTGGGTCTGAGCTCTGCACTCACTGTCTGTACGATCTGGGCAAGTCACTTACGCCCTGGACATCAGTGCGTCGTGTTTACAGTGGGGATAATAATTTGTCAGTTTGAAAGCAGAGTTGAGACCCAGTGCCCTTGAGTGCCCTCCTAGTTTTGAGACTTAGACTAGGATTCTGCTGGTGATGGATGTTTGTGTATAAATAAGCATGAACACTCCTTTTAAAAAGAGAAGAAAAGGGTAGGGTAGGGGATCCTGGGAAATGTGCATAGGGGTCTGTAGCTAGGTCAGGTCTGCTTTGAATTACTAATGGTGCCACATTCTTTCTCACCAGCAAGAGGAGTTCTGGAAACTCACTCTTGGTCGTGCGCTCTGTAGCTGTTGGGTGCCCATTAATGTGTGAGTGGGGTGGGAGAGGAGCTGAGGTGTGGTGCAGGGGAAGGCTGGGCGTGCCCTCGTAATGTAGTCTGTGGAGGAAAAGCAGAGAAAAAGAAAAGGGGGGAGATTTTTTCCCTCTCCCAGCCAGGTTTGTAAGCTTTCATAACTCTAGCAATTTTTCAATTTCAAACCAAACAAAGCCTGCAGTGACATTTAATGTGCCCTAGTGCTTGCCAGCCACTGGAGACCAGCCAGCCTCATTACTGTCTGCCAAGCTCTGGATGCTTTTCAACAGGCAGGCTGAGCTGCTCTGCAAATGTCATGGCAAAAACCAAGATTCAGAGCCCTGATGGGCAGGGCTGGTAAGACCAGAACCTTTCCAGGGTCGAAGAAGCCCTTTGTGTCAGGAATCCCTGGCAGACGTTCTGAAGACAACTTGCTGATACCCCTCTCCCTCTGAGGAGGCAGGATGGAGTGAGAACTGGGAGCCAGTATCAGGGAGAGGTGATTAATAGCTGGGTCTGGCCACAGGTGGAAAAAGGAAAGGCAAAATAAAATAAAACCCAAGGGGCTCTTTGACCCATTTATCACAAAAGGTTCCTGGTGAGATAATTTCTGGGAACCTACTTAGTAGTTGGGAGATAGATGGCCCTTATAAGGAAGACCTTGGAGTGCCTCTACCCTGCAGGGCGGTCTCTGAAGGTTCCCCCACTTGCACCCCTGTCTGGAGAGAATAGGGCAAGGATTCTCAGACTTGAGTGAACTCCAAAATCTCCTGGAGATTCAGGAGGTCTGGGGTGGGGACTGAGGATTGACTTCTAACCAGGTCCCAGGTGATAACAATGCCACCCAGGGACCTCACTTCCAGATAGAATGGACAGGGATAGGGAAGGGGGAGCAGGAGATGCTGTCTGTGGGCATATGACCACCTCTACTCTTTTTTGAGCACCAGTTGATAGTTTATGCATCCATTCAATGAAAATAGATAGAAAGGACTCAGGATTCTAATTAGTGAGTACTCCTTAATTGCTAGACATTGTCCTAACACTGTGCATGAACTTGTTTAAAAGTTGCAGTCAATTATAACCAGCTAACAGTACTATCCCCGTTTTATAGTTGAGGAAACTCAGGCTCAGAGAGAAGTAACTTGGATCCTAAATTCGTGGATATGAAGT